AAAGACTCCTCCTATCAAGCCTGAGAACCGGAGTTCAATCCCTAGGACCCACATGATGGAAGGAGAGAACCAACTCCCAAAAGCTGTTTTCTGACCTCTACACACACACCATGCACATGCATACACAAACTCAATAAATTTTAAAATGTAATTTTAAAAAAGGGGTTTTTTTGGTGTTTTTGAGACAGGGTCTCCCTATAGCCCCAGCTGGCCTGGAACTCACTATGTAGACCAGGCTTGCCTGGAACTTGCAGAGAGCCACCTGCCCCTGACTCCCAAGTACTGGGATTAAAGGCATGTGCCACTGTGGGAGACAGGCTTGAGCCTAGGGTGATATTGCAACTCTCAGGGTCACGTGGTTTCTAGAAATCCAGGCTCTGTAATCTGAAACCCAGTATGCAAATGAGACATCTTACCCTCTATTCTGTGATAGGACGTTGGGTCTGTTATACTAATAGGATGCTAAACCTGTTATGCTAATGAGGTATCCTACTTGCTGTGCTGTGATTGGACCACTACCTCTATATAAGCTTGTGCCTTCCTGCAATAAACCAGACCTGTATCACTGAAAAAAAAAAAAAAAAAAAATCTGTATCAGGCCATTTTTGCATCAGCTGTCTCTATGTCTTTTGGCAGAACACAGGTTTGCCTCAGCCGGATGTTTTTGGCGTGTTTGCAGTGCACATGTGCTGGTTGTTCAGGCCACACTTCCTCCTACATGCCACCACACCCAATAAAAATTTTTTTTAACTTAGTCATGGGTTGGGGAGATGGCTCAGTGGATAAGAGCACTTGTTGCACAAGCATGAAGACCTGAGTTCAAATCCCCAAAATATATATAAAAAGTCAGACATGGTCATGCACACCTGGATCCCAGTACTGGGGGAGGTGGCACAGAGACAGGAGGCTGGCTGAAGCTTGCTGGCAGCCACTCTAGCCCCAGGTTCAGTGAGAGACCCTGTCTCAAGGGAATAAGACAATGAATGATAGATACACACAACACTGGGTGTCCTCCTCTGGCCTCTGCACACACAAAAGAGCACACACACACACACACGCCCACCATACTACACGCATGCATGTACACACATGTATAATTTTTAATTTAAAAATCATAATCATTCTCCAGTTACCTCACCTCTGTTTTCTCTATCTGTCAAATAAATGCATCAGTGTACATACAGAATAAAGGAAAAGAGTACAGGAGAGGAAGAAAATAAATATCTACAGAAGGGTCATGTGTCTTTTCCATATTTTGGATCACTTGCAAAGATATAAATAAGTCATGCTGCAGTATCCCAGAGTATGTTCATGGCTCCTAAGAGCCAATCTGCTTGTAAGTAATGCATCATTTTATATGGCCATGGCAATGTCTCAGACTATGTGGTAACAATTCTGCAGCAGATATAACTAATTTTTTTTAATGACCTTATAGAGATACTATTTTCATACTATTAAGAGTTCACTCCTTTACAGTGTAAAACTCAACAAGTGTATCACACAGTTGTGCAGATATCACTATAATCCAATGTTAGAATCACTTCATCACTCCAAAAAGAAGCATCATACCCATCAGCAGTAATTCCCTATTCCTCCACTAACCACCCAGTGCAGCTACTTATTAATATCCCATCGTTTTCAGTGTTTCTTGTGGATACCTCAATGGTTTTACAAAATTGTTTCAAACCCACAAGTTGTAATGATTCCTTCTGTTTCAAATTGTGAAATGTTTTGCTTCTTAACCACAGAAAAGTAAAACATGTCAGAATGGCTTCAATTTGTTGTTTTTTTTTTTTTTTCAAATGTAAGGCATGACAAGAGTTAAGAGGAAAAAAAGTATTTTTCAATATTTTATTATTTTTATTTTTTGCATATGAGTATATTGCCTGAATGTAAGTGCACCCATGTAGTGCAATGCCCATGGATGTCAGAAGAGGGTGTCGGATTCCCCTGGAACCCATGGTTGTCAGCTACCATGTGGGTACTAGGAATCGAACCTGGGTCCTTCTGCAAAAGCAGCCAGTGCTCTTAACCACTGAGCCATCTCTCCAGCCTAAGAAGAAAAGTGTTATATAAGCACAAAGTTATGCATTGTTTTCAACTTACTATTAGTGAGGGAAGAAAACTCCTCTTCCTCATTCATCATCAGTCCATTGCTGAAGTCTTTCTAACCACTTTATAGAAGAAAACATTCAAAGCGATTTAATAAAGGTTTTGTATGACATGAGAGCCTTCATGAGCAAATGAGTCCAGAAGGAAGAATTTAACCTGTGAGTCTCTAGCCCAAGCTCAATGAGGAAATGGATAGTTCCAGACAAGTGTGATAGGACAGAAGATGTGAGCTACAACAAGGAAGAACTTGGCAAGGCTACTTGCTGAGACTCTCCTCTGTGACCCTTCATTTCTGGGATGAGGAAGTTTCTCTCAGCAGAGGGAGCCCACATGCTTCAGGGAAGAAGGGTGGAGGGAAAGTGGGGGATCTTCTTACTTCTACAATGTTCTTCGTAGGTCATGGGGCCTTTCTGTGGGAAGGGACTGCTTTATTTGTTTGTTCATTTGTTTTGCTGCTATGGCCAGAACTTGGGGCCTTATAAATGCAAAGCACACACCCTATTACTGAAGTACATCTTGAGCCATAAGGTCCCATATTTTGAGGAGCATGTCATGAACCCTACCCCATTGCTTTGAAAGTCCATTAAATAACAAGTAAAAATGCTACACAGAGGCAAGAATATCTTTATTTTAGTTGCATCAACTTGGTCTGATAATAAAAAGCCCAATTTAACCTATATAGCATTTGATATGTGATCTGAAGCGTTATGACAGCCAAAAAAAAAAAAAAAAAAAAACCACTTTCACTGACCCAAAGCATTTTTCTTCTCATTTTCTGGATTCCAAATATATAGAATTTTGTTTGTTTGTTTGTTTGTTTCAAACAGGGTCATACACTATATCCCAGGTTGGCCTAGAATTCATTATATAGCCTAAGTCTTGAATTCATGGCAATTATCCTGCCTCAGCCTCCTGAGTTCTGAGATTACAGGCATGAGTCACCACACCCAGATCCACAGAATTTAGCAATTTGCTTTTGGAGGTTTTGTGAGAGAAAACAAATTGAAAATAACTAATTAGACAAGAGATATCAGTTCCCTCAACAATGCCAAATTTTTTAAATAACAGTGGTCATCAACTTTAAAAGCTGCGGGTAGAAGGCACTTCATTGATAGCAAAGTTGGGAACCTCTTACCAAACCCTAGCTCTTTCCCTCTTCATTTAACTGCACATGTTCTCCTAAAATAAGCCAATATTCCTATGACTCAATCAAGCAATGTATAACCTAGCCAAGTGTTTCGTTTTACATTACTTTAGTTAAACAAAGGATGCCCAAATTCATCTATGCATGAACCTACTACATTCACACAAATGAAAGGCACTCAAAAGTGCAGTCATTTTCTCATGTAATTAAAGAAAAATTCAATGGAAGTAATGTCTGTAGTACAATAAAATCATTAAAACATAAACCTCACAAAAACATAAGCCCCCAAAGAGCTGTTTCAGCTCCTAATCCCAGGTTCTGAAGGTGATACATGCACATACATGCAAACACAACCAGAAAAATCAGTGTCACTACAGGACTTCCTAGTCTAAACCCAGGATGACCAGCTCCTCTTCCACCACATTATGGTGCAGTGAGAGAAGGTAGGCTACAATAAGAATTCTCTCTCAGCACCCTGGTGAATGTGAAGTTCTGGGTTTAGATGGCCATATTGCAGGAAGTCCCCCTCCTTTCTTTTTAAAGATTTTTTTTTTTATGTGTATGAGTGTTTGCCTGAACGTGTATGTGTGCACCATGTGCACAGACGGTGCCAACAGGGGCCAAAAGAGGGAGTCAGATCCCTTGGAACTACAGTTACAGATGACTGTAAGCTGCCATGTGGGTGATAGGAACTGAACCTGGGTCATTTACAAGAGCAGCAAGTGTTCTTAACCACTGAGTCATCTCCCCCTTCCTAGGGAAGCCCTTTTGTTGCTTAAAAAAAGAAATACAAACCAGGCGTGGTGGCGCATGCCTTTAATCCCAGCACTCAGGAAGCAGAGGCAGGTGGACCTCCGTGAATTCAAGGCCAGCCTGGCTTACATAGTGAGTTCCAGGCCAGATGGGGCTACAGAGAGACCCTGTCTCAAAAATAATCACCATGCAAGATCCAGGTCAGCCTGGGCTATAGTATACTTACATATATAAAGCAAGAAAACAAGTATACAGAGGACATGTGTAGGTTATATGCAAACACCACCCACTTTATTCAAAGGACTTGGGCATCTGTAGATTTTACTATGTGTAACATGAAGATGTCAGATTTCTAAGAATCTACTTTTAGGCCCAAAGACACCAAGAGTACCTACTAGATAAAGATGAGGCCCTGTGGAATTTGGAAGAGGGACCTCTCCTCTCAAGTCACTGTCCTTCAAGTCAGAGAGCATGGCTTGATGAGCAGTATCAAGTCTACATTTCAGCCCCCACCTGTCCCCTCTTCCAATTAGTCTTGTGCAGAAATAATCCACAGAAGCCTGGAGATAGGAGGCTGGGAAGACAGGTTTGCAACTCCACCTTCTTTTAGCCTGTATGGCAGGCCCAATCAATAATATCAACCCTTCATTCTACTGAAATCTCCAGGTATCCCAGCTCTACCACAAAAGAGCTCACTTTCAGTCAGCTTATAAAAGACAAAAAATCTGTAGAATAAAAGATAAAATCTGTAGACAAGACATTTAGAAAAAACTCTGTGGACCATATATGAAAACAAGTTATGTGAATATCAAATATATCCATTGTTGAAAGTTTATTTTTTAATTATTTTGAGTATTTGGATATAAAACTTTCACTAAAATACTTATTCTAATTCTGTGAGATTCAAACCACATCATATTCTATTTTCATTTGACCAAACAGTATAAATCTACCACTTGAAATGACGTACGCATGATTCAAAGCAGATTACCTTTTACACCACCAAATGGCCCATACGCCATATTGCAGGCTGTTCTCTGGAGACTGTGCTCATACATTAATTTGATATGATATTGGTTTCCATGTTCCACATTACCCAAGGTTCCTAAGGGGGAAAAATGGTGGATTACTTTGAGTTTGTTTATACTGGTTTACATTAATTTTTTTTTCATCCTCTGTAGCAGCTTTAATTCAATTTTACCAAAATTTAAAATGACAAAGCAGCTTTTAAAAAAATGATGAACAATTAACACACTGATGACAGAGAAAGCCAACACAGTTAAAAAAGCATGTAAATCTCAGCTAGATTACACCATGAAGGAAATATGACACTGGGGAACATTTGATTATCTATTTCCAGCCATGACTGAGTAAAGCATAATTATTTAAATGACAAACAAAACCCTGGATTTCAGTTCTAAAATAAATGAGGTTACGGTCCTTCCATTTATAAACAATAAAAGAGCAAACAAACAACTCAGTGTCTTAGCAAAAATTCAAAAAAAAAAAAATCCAAAAACAACTCATTTTCTTGTCCAAAATCTCAAAATACCCAACCCCTTAAAACATTACAGTCTCAGGGGCTGAGAGATGGCTCAGCAGTTAAGCACCATGGCTGTTCTGGCAGAGGACCCAGGTTTGGCTCTCAGCACCCAGAGGGCATCCAACACCAGTCTGTAACCAGCCAATTCCAGTTCCAGGGAATCTTGTGCCCTCTCCTGGCCTCTGGAAGCATTGCATGTATGTGGTACATTTACACATATGCAGGCAAAACACATATAAAATAAAAATAAATTTATAATAAAAAACATTATAGTCTCAATTATTTTAGACTCAGGATTGACCCCACATCCTTATGCAGGCTAGGCAAGTGCCCTACCCCTGGACTACATCCTAATTTAATAGAGATCATCTAAACTTCCTTCAGCAAGTAAATAGAGCAATGCGCTTTATTTTAAATTGTCCAAGAAAAATCTCTTTCAAAACAAGTAATCCTCATATATATTCTCTCTCTCTTTCTCTCTCCCTTCTTCCTCCCCCCCCCTCAACCCCACTTAATAGATTGCAGCAATCACTTCCTAGTTCTTTCCAGAATAGGTAATTTATCTTAGTTTAAATTACATATATATGTGTGTGCCTGTGTGGGGGTATGTGCATGAGTGAGTGCAGTTGCCCACAAAGTCCAGAAGAGGGTGTTGGATCCCCCGAAGCTGGAGTCACAGGCAGAGGTTCAGCCACCCAATGTGGGTGCTGGGAACCCCAGTCCTTGCAAAGCAGTGCATGCTCTTAACTGTTGAGCCATCCCTCCAGGCCAAGAGGTGTCTATCTGTATGTACTCAGGTGCTCAAGGTTCATCAGCTACAGCCACAGAGCAGTGAGCATGCAAGTGCATGAGGAGTAAAGAATTGTTAGAAAGTTGTTCTTTCCACAAAGAATATGTTATTTAACCATGGAAAATGCAAATGCTAAAGAAAAATTTAAAGTACTATAAAGCAGAAGATATAGTCTGCCAATTCAGTCATTAAAAGTATCTTTAAAAACCAGCTGGGCATGGTGGTACACGCCTTTAATCCCCACACTCAGGAGGCAGAAGTAGGTGGATCCCTGCGAGCTCTAGGCCTACATAGTGAGTTCCAGGCCAGGTGGGGCTACGGGGAGACCCAAGTCTCAAAAACAACAACAACAAAAGTTATCTAAAACTGGATGTGATTGCAAACCCCTATATCCGGGCACTTAGGAGGATGAGGTAGGGTGATCACTGTAACTAGGCAGACCTTACTTAGTGAGGCTGCCCCTCAAAAGAAAAATAAAAAGAAACTAATTAAATACATATGTATATGGTAGTTATAAATGAGCATCTATTTATTTGTGGTTTTGTTTGGGGGAGTTGTCCAGAAAAACTTACTAACAAATACTGAAACTGTGAAAACATATTTTCCTACATTTTATAATAGAAATATTATAACTGTTATTTAAAAACTGAAGAAATACCCCCAAAAATTTCACAATTAGTTAAGGACACCACACTCAAACCAGGTCTTCAGAGCCAGATACTAAATAATCAAGAATGTGGCTATCTACCACTTAAGATCTTTAAGGGAACTGGTGTTCCCCCTACCCTCACCCCTGGAAATATTACATGTCCTTTGGTATTGTCAATGACAATTCCTCAAAAGAAAGTAACAACAAGAATATGCCACTGTCAGCCAGCCGTGAACTGCCGTACGAACTGAAGTTCTCCAAGAAGCTGTGTCTTTATTAGATCTTGCAAACTAGCCTTGGCTGAGTAGAATATCGTAACTCTGGAGAGACAGAATATTGTAGCTATTCTGCGATCCCTGATCATTCATGTTCACTGCTGTTCTATTCAAAATAGCTAGGAAATGGAATCAGCCTGGCTACCCATCAACAGATAAATGATAATGAAAATATGGTACAAATACACAACAGAATTTTATTCAGCTATAAAGAAAAATGAAATTTGCAGTGAGTGGCAGCAGAGATGCATGGCTACTCAAGGTGCTAAGAATTGGTTACTGGTGAATTCCCGGCCCTAAGCAGGCCATCCATACCACTACCTCTATACTCAGGGAACACAGCAGAAAGACAGTGGAAAGAATTTAAGAGACAGAGATAGGGAAAAGGCTGCGAAAGGCCATCTTCAGTACTTGAAAGCCATTAATCATGATGTCACAGCAGCTGTGTGGCCTGTGCTGGACCTGCACAAGACTGGGTCTGTCAGCAACCACAGATGGGTGTGGGACTCCTGGACCCTACCCCTCCCTGCTGAACTATTGGCTACTGATTTATTCTGGAGGTGGGACAGTCATCGTCTTCAGTTGTATACCACCAGTGATCCCACCAGGAGCCAGTGGATAGTTCCAAATCCATGATCACACAAGGGACACTGGTTAAAATCAATAGGTCACAAAACAAACAAAAAAGACATGAATGTGAGAAAGAGACTTGGAGAGAGGCAGGGAGGTTGATGGGGTGAGAGGAGACAGGAGAACATGGTGGTGAGAGTAATCAGAATGCATTATACACTTGTATGGGACTGTCAAAGAACAAATTTAATAATAATAGAAAGATATTGTAGTTCTGAAGCCCTGCTTAATAGACATTTACTATCAATCACTTGATGTGATCTAACTACCTCTTGGCTTTTTCATAAAATTTCTGGAATGCTGTAGTTTGAAGACAAATGTCCTCCCATAGGCTCAGGTGTCTGAACAGTTGTCCCTGGTTGATGGTACTGTTTGGAGAGGTTACTGGGAGATACAGCCTTGATGGAGGAAGTATATCACAGTGGGTGGACTTTGAAGGTTTATAGCCTTGCCCCATTTCCAATTCACTCTCTCTGCTTATGGACAGAAATGTGAACTCTCGGCTTCCTATTCTGGCTGCCTGCTGCCATGCTTCCCCCAACATTATGGACTCTCCCTCTGTAAGCCCAATAAAACCATAAGCTCAAATAAACTCTTCCTTCTATAATTTGCCTTAGTACTGGTATTTTATCACTGCAACAAAAAGTAAGTCATACAGATGTATTATTAAGCCCAATACACCTCCAGTCCACAACAATAATGAAACTAAGAAAGTGATAAGGACAGCATTTAAATGCTGTACATTTCCTGGTCCTTTCTGAAGCCTGTCCCCCTGACAACACCCCCGACCATGTATTTCATGATTCATGGGTTTCTCTTCTGGAACTATAAAAGGTGTACAACCTTTTCCATGGCAGATATTTGGCTCAGAATAAACTATTTCTTTTTGCCTTCAAGCAGGGTTGACATTTTGCCAACACTGGCATCTATCTATACTTCTTCAGAAGGAGAGGCAGGAAAATGACTTGAGCCCAGATGTTTAAGGCTATGTAGCAAGTAAGAGAAGGGGGGAAAACAGCAAGAGGAAGAGGAAGAGGAGGAGGAGGAGGAGGAGGAGGAAGAAGAAACGGAGCGATGGAGGAATGAGAGGGGAAGGGAAGAAACAAAAGGCAGTGGGAAAAAGGAGCCATTGCTGACACACGCCAGAAACATGCTGTCCCTTAAAAAAAAAAAAAATGACCTCTTTAGTGTGCAGTTTGAAACTATAAAAATACGGCATAAGTGAGGCTGGAGAGATGGCTCAGTGGTTTAGAGCACTTGCTGGCCAGACGTAGTGGTACACGCCTTTAGCCTTCAGTCCCAGCACACGGGAGACAAAGACACACAGATTTCTGTGAGTTCAAGAATAGCTTGGTCTACATAATGAGTTCCAGATCACCTGGGGCTACAGGGAGACCCTGTCTCAAAAAGGCAGAAAAAAAAGTGCACTTGTTGCTCTTGCAGCGGACCTGAGTTTGGTTCCCAGCATTTACATGGAGAGTCACAACCCGCTGCAACTCCAATTCCCTCTTCTGGTCTCCACGGGCACCAGGCACGCACATGGTATACTTACATACATGCACATGGTACACTTACATACATGCGGGCAAAACACTCATACACATAAAAAAATAAATAAATAAATAAATAAATATTTCTTTTTAAAAAAAATAGGGCAGGGACTGGAGAGATGGCTCAGCAGTTAAGAACACTGGTTATTCTTGCAGAAAACCCAGGTTTGTATCCCAGCACCCATATGGCAGCTAACAACTGTCCGTAACTCCAGGGGATCCAACAGCCTCTTCTGACCTTGCAGGCATTGCACGACATGGGTGCACTTACCTGCATGCAGGCAATACACACATACACATAAAATAAAAATAATTTTTTTTTAAATAGGGCAAGTTTCCTTGTTGTGAAATAAATTGACCCCACTCCCACAGGGTCTCTCTGTGTATCCTAGGCTGGCCTTGAACTCATAATCCTTTGGCCTCTGCCTCCCAAGTTCTAGGATTATAGACGAGCATTCTCACACTTAGTATAAAATTATATTTATAAAATAAATTTCCACTTATAAAGATGCCTCTCTCATGTACCAAGAAGAGGAGACCTTAATCTGTACAGCAAACAATTTTTTCTAAAGATTTATTTATTTGTGTGTGTGTTGTATGATAGAGACGGGGGTGGGGGGCCATAGATGCCAAAAGAGGGTATCAGATCTCCTGGATCTGAAGTTACAGGTAAACCACCTAACATGGCTCTGAGAAGCAAACCCAAGGTCTTTGGGAAGAACAGAAAACGCTCTTAACTACAGAGTCATCACACTAGCCCTGGAAACTTCCTTGCTTACTTGCTTGTTTAGGCAGTGACTCCCTGTAATTACAAGTGGCCTGGAACTCACTATGTAGACAAGGCTGGCCTCAAATTCAGAGATCCACCTCCTCCCCAGTACAGGAATTAAAGGTGTGTACCACCACACCCAGCTTCCCACAAACTTTTTTATTTTATGTGTATAAGTGTACTACCTGCATGTGTGTAAGTGCACCCATGTTGTACAATGCTTGAGGAGGTCAGAAGAAGGCCTCAGATCCCCTAGAACTGGAGTTACAGATGCTCGTTAGCTGCCATACGGGTGCGGGGAATCAAACCCAGGCCCTCTGCAAGTGTAATCAGTGCTCTTAGCCATCTCTCTAGTCCTGAAAACTTTCTTAAACAGACTTGTGACCCTACTTTTCCTAGTCAAGTTCCCAGACAGAAGCTTGAAATTCATTTGCTTTATTTGACCCCTAATATTTAAGCCAAGTTTTGCAGTGGTGGTTGTATCTTGTTTTGTTTTAGGTTTTTGCTTTGCTTTGTTTTTTGTTTTATGATAGGGTCTCCCTATGTAGCCTAGATTGTCCTCAAACTCATGATCTCCTGCCTCCGCAGCCTACATATGCTGCCCTAAGATTACAGGCTTATGTGCCACCATGCCTGGGTGAATTAAGTCAAATTTTTAACTGAGAATTGGCAGGTCTGACTTGGAGGCAAGATCATATGAACAGAAAGTTACAGGCAAAGTGGTTTAGACCAGTGGCCAACCAGATGTCTAAGGACTGAAGACTGTCCTTGAACCTCATTATACCTTCATTATCAAATAGTAGTATAGTAAAACCTCTGAGGGAAACATTTTGAGCCATTGTGCAAATGTGTACACACACACACACACACACACACACACACACACACACACACACACACTGAAAGCCTCCTCCCTTTCCTGGATAATGCATGAGTATTCAAAACCTTTTCTAGAAAAGACAAGAATATGCAAACCCATCACCAAAAATGAAATGTATATATTGTCACTGCTCCGCCTATAGTGGTGGCCAACTGTACTTTTCTGTAATAAACTTTTCTCTTTAGTTTTTCTTCAGAACTAAATCTGAGACTGATTTTTATCCTACAAAAAATGAAGGACCTACTTAACCAGTGACACAGTGATGACCCTTCGGGTTAGCCATGCTGGATGCTCTCACATGTACTTACGGTTTTTTGTTTTGTTTTGTTTTTTGTCTTTTTTTGAGACAGGGTCTCCCTGTAGCTCCAGCTGCCCTGGGCCTCACTATGTAGACCAGGCTGGTCTCAATCTCACAGAGATCAACCTGCCTCTGCCTCCCAAGTGCTGGGATCAAAGGCGTGCACCACCACACCCAGCACATGTACTTATGTAATGCACAGGTAATAAGCTTGTATTTCTCTTGGTAACCTGAGGGAAAACTGGAGGGGAGGGGGCAGATATTTAAGAGCCAAAAGTTCTGGGGAAGGTAACTGTGAAATTCTGTCTTCTGGACATGAGAGGGCAGTGGCACTCATGAACTCACAGCAGATGTGCTTGCCAACACAAGACCTGGACAAGATCAAGCCAGTCAACATTCCAACATGGAGAGAGAAAGGGCTCACAAGGCCCCACTTCTAATTGAGGAGCTAAGGGCAGCTGATGACTGCTGCAGGAGGGAGGGTCAGTTTTTTCAGGAATGTGGCCCATGGTAGGTTGTCCAGGCTCCGGTGATGGCACCTACACCTATACACATATAGACATCATTAATTGGAGTCACTGGATTACTAAAAAAGAAAGAAGGCGTGAAGTTGGAAGGAGGGTGTGGAAGACAGAGGGTGAGTCCAAGGGGAGTTGAAGCAGTAGAAAAGGGATGGACATGAGCTAAGTACCTTGCAATTAAGTATGAAATTACCAAAGAATTTTTTTTGAAGATTCTGTCTCAAAAAAATAAATAAATAAAATAAATCCACAAAATAAAGTAACCTATATCATACCTTTTTTCTAGCTATTCTCAAATATCAAATACATGCATCTCTTTCATTAGAAATAGCAAAATATTTTTAGGGCAAAGACTCTCTATTTAATCCAAGCTAGCCTCTCTCAATTTTCCTGCCTCAGCTTCAGAGTGCTAGGATTTCAGGCAAGCATCACCATGCCCAACTTTTGGAAACAGCTTTTGTTTTTAGAAACAGCTTTTGCCATGAAACCAAATGCACACACCATCAGGCCTCTGATAAAAACACAGAAAAGAAAAAAACAAAGCAAGACAAAAAAAAAAAAGTTGCAACAAAGAAGGAGAAAGAAACAACACAGGATAAAGTAACCAAGAGCTGCTGCCATTGGACAAGATGGCCCATGCCTGTAATCCCAGCACTAGGGGAGGGATCTCTATGAGTTGAGGCAAGACTGGTCTACATTGCAAGTTCCAGGCCAGCCAGGGCTATATAGAGAGATTGTGTCTCAAAACAACAACAACAAAAATGGACCAGCTTGACATACATAGTAAGTTCCAGGCCAGCCTGCACAACTAGTGAGACTCTGTCTCACAAAACCAAAAACCCCAAAACAAAAGGCCAAATGCCTAATGCCACCTATACATTTCTAGTAGATTTCTACCATAGACCATGCCCTTTGTTGCCAGGGCTGCCTTCAAAAGCTAACACATCTTTGCTTCAAAAGATCTTTCATTTTAATACTGGCCAAAATGTTGAAATCAAGCCACAATGAACTATGTACTGTACATGTACCTCCTCACTGAACTATGTCAGAAAACAAAACCTGGTTTCACCTCAAAATTAGTGCCTTGAGATCTGGTTTAGTGGGAGACAACGGAATGCTAAGAAATTAGAACTAAAAAGAGAAAACACTTAAGGATTACCAAAGAAAATTTATTTCAAGCCACTATGACTCAACATGTAATGAATTGTTACTACTGAGTATTTTTTGAGTCAAGGGTCCTAAGTAACCAAAGCTGGCCTCTATTATTAGTCACAGACAATCCTGGACACAATTCCTGAGAGCAACCAGATTCTAAGAAACCATCTGCTAAAAAGAATAAAATAAGAATGCAAAGAAATAGTGGAGCAAGAAAATATATACAAAAGAATAATAAATAATGAATTCTGGGGAATGTTAACCAAGACAAGAAAACCTTCAAGTGAATGCTTTATATTTGCTCCCAAAATGCTATCTAAGCTTATATAAGAGCTCACTTAGTAACATAAATTTCATATTAGGAAAAAAAATGTTTCTTACCTGAGACAGAGTAGACACAAAGTTTTCTAGAATGCAATACAGCCAAATGAAGCATTTCAGTGCCTCTGAAAAATGGGGAGAGTTTTAAACATTTTTAAGTATTAGTTTCAGATATAGCCCCAAAAGTTACAAAATATTTTCAAAGGATCTCGTAACTAAAGCCAATGTGAGTTCACAAAGAATCCATAGATATATATCTAAACTGAAATATAAGAGCACCCACAGAATCTGACAGGCCTGCAGGCCCGGATCCTAGGCCTCATCAGGGGTGATGGCAAATGCCTCTAATTCAGACTACTCAGAAAGCTGAGGTAGGAGGAACCAAAGTTCTAAGATAGCCAGATCTACATAGGGAAGCAAATGGAAGAGCAAAAAGAAAGGAAGATAGTGTATGCAGGCAGAGGCAAGAGGATTTGGATCTCTGTGAGTTCAAGGCCAGTCTGACCTATAAAGCAAGTTCCAGGCCAGCCAGGGCTACATAGTGAGACCTTATCTTGACAGAGAGAAGAGAGAAAGGGGGGTAGTGAAGGAAGGGAGGAAAAAGAAGGGAAAAGAGAGGGAAAAGGAGCTGCCTTCTGACTACCTTCTGACTGACACCAAGCAGGCAGCCCAGAAAGTCAGATCTGACTTTTTTTTTTTACATGAGTAATTCTTCCACAGTAAAGATCTCTGAGTTCTGGTCCTGCTTTCTTTTTTTTTGAATTAGCTATTTTATGTGTATGAGTGTATTGCCTACTTGTATGCTAAATGCATAGCCCACAGAGATCAGAAGAGAGTTACAGACAGTTGTTAGCTGCCATATGGGTGCTGAGAACCAACCCGGGTCCTCTGCAAGAGCAGCCAGTGCTCTTAACCTCTCAAGCCTCTCAGTCATCTCTCCAGCCCCAGGTCCTGCTTTCTGACTAATTTACCTCTGACTTTGGGCAAGTTACTTAATCTCCCTGAGCTTATTTCCCCTTATGGAAAATAAGAGGTTTCAATGAAATGGAATAAAATGACATGGAAATACCTGATAAGTACAAACAGCACTAACGCTGCTCATTACTAAGAAATGGCATAGATCATTTCCAGATCTCAATTAAAAGTGTTGAAAACATTTCAGCTTGAACTAAATCTCAAATAGAGTAAATCACCACTGTACCCAACTATACTCCCAGCCATGTCAAGTGGTTTCCAGGCAGAAGCATGGCACAGTGCAGAAAACCTTAATTCATAGTCTTCAGGGGTCAAGTTAATGGACATTAATGAGAAAAAGGCTGCAAATGGCTATGATTCACTGAAAACTGAGGCCAGGCTAAAGGAGGTGGCTACTACTTGGGTCTGGGCTTCTAGCCAGAGCCCCATAATTTTTTTTAAAAAGCAGGAAAGTGGAGATTTTATGTGAAATCTCCTGATTCTTAAATGTTGGCAGTCTTTTAACTTTAAAACACTGCAGACCAGGATGTACAAGCAGGCCTCCAGTGTACAATCTCTGTTCCAGATTCAAAACTACAAGGTCTGTAATTAAAGTCTGAAGACCTGAGTTGGGGTTCTGATGCTGCACCTTACGCCACATGTGATCGCCTGATTTTTCAGAGTGTTAGTGTCTACCTTACAAAATAAGAATTGTATTACATAATATACAAAGAAGAGTGGTATAATGGCTCTATAAATCCTGATTCATTCCGCTACCAGAAAAAAATGTGAATTACATGCAACTACCATATAGTCAATAGTGCTTTCAGAACTTTTTTGTACCCTAAATACTCAACACAATTTTGGAGAGCATAAAGGCAGGGAAAGATAGTATGGTACAGAGTCAGAAAGAGAGCCCAAATCTTGGCTATGTGGCTCTACACTCTAAAATTTCCTTATCTGTAAATACAGGTCACATACAAGATTATGGCTGGAAGCCAGGCATGGTGGCGTATGTCTTTAATTCCCGCACTCAGGAGGCAGAGGCAGGCAGATCTCTCTGAGTTCAAGGCCAGCCTGATCTACATACCTACTGAAGTTACCAGGAAACCCTGTTTCAAAAAAAGACTAAAAGATTATGGCTAGAAGATGACTCGTCACTTAACGGCCCTTGCTACTCTTGCAGAGGACATGAGTTCAGTTCTCAGTGCCCATAAAAGGCAGCTCACAACCACCTGTAGCTCCATTTCCAGGGGAGCCAATGCCATCTTGCCTTCTTGTAGCCTCTACCGGCACTGCACACATGTGGTGCATATACATACATACACTCAGATACACGCACACATACACATAAAATAAAAACATAAATCTGGTTTGGGGTTTTCTGTTTGTTATTTTTGGCTTTTTTTGTTTGGTTTGTTTTGTTTTGGTTGGTTGCTTGCTTTTACATCAGAGTTGGTACACTGATGTAATAGTGACATGCAGTTTATGAGGGAGGGGCAAAACTACTTTCTTGTTGAATTCAAATCCTGATCCTTAAAAGGGAATTAATGTCTAGTATTGTTTTTTGTTTTTGTTTTCTTGAGACAGGGTCTCCCTGTAATCCCAGTTGGCCTAGAACTTAACATGTAGACCAGGCTGGCCTCTATCTCACAGAAATTCAGTTGCCTCTGCTAGAATTAAAGGCATGTGTCACCATGCCCAACAAATAAATCTTTTTTAAAAGACCACAATGGCCAGCAATAGAATTCATTCATTTTTACCCCCTTTCCCTTCCAATAAGTGATCACAAGATGAGATCTGCACATAAAGAGGCCATATAGCATTAATATTAGCCATTTTTCATGTTGTGTTTTGTTTTTTCAAAGCTCAAGGTCAATTTTATTAGAGTTTAGAGGAAAACCCCAGGACAGGCAAGCTGTAAATCTCTGCCACTGTCCAGAAGAAGAAGATAGAGAAGAGAAGGAGAAAAGGCCAGGCTGTTTTGAGTTAAGCCAGCATGGAGATCAGCCACATGGACAAGCTGCCACGTGGTGGGGAAGGGAGCTTTAGAGAAACAGCAAGGAAGCCCAGAGTACCAGAAAATAACATACAAAGGCTCTGACCAGCATCTAAAAGACAAACAGAAGATAAGAAAAAGGGAAAGTTATACCTTTATGAGTTGAGACTAAGAAGGGGAGGGGCAGACCCAACAGAGTCTCACAGCAGCCCTTAGTCAATATTGGCTGACCAGAGATGTACTTTAGTGGTACAACACTTGCCTGGCATGCATGAGTTTCAATCTCCAGTCACACACACACACACACACACACACACACACAGAGAGAGAGAGAGAGAGAGAGGTGTAAAATTAAAAATGGATAGTTGGTGGCTGAGGATGTAGCTCAATGGTACAGTGCTTGCCTAACATGTATGAAGACCTGGGTTCAATTCCCAGCACCACAAAAAATAAAAAATAAACTAAAAATGGAGAGTTGGTACACTGATGTAATAGTGGCATGCAGTTTATGAGGGAGGGGCAAAACTACTTTCTTGTTGAATTCAAATCCTGATCCTTAAAAGGGAATTAATGTCTAGTATTGTAAACCTAATCAAAAACCCATAACTGAGCCAGGTGTGGTTGTCCACAGGAGGCAGAGGGAGGCCTATGAGTTCAAGGCCAGCCTGGTCTACATAGTGAGTAGCTACAGGGAGCCCCTATCTCAAAAAAAAAAAAAAAGCACTTGCTACACAACATGAGGATCAATATTTGGATCCCCAGATCCCTAGTACCTACATAGTAAGATGGGTATCCCACACATGCCTGTAACCCCAGCTCCAAGGGAGGCAGAGACAGGAGGATCACTAGGGCTGGCATTTTCTTAACTAGGCTAATCAGCAATTAGACAGAGGAGGACCCTCAGCACGCTCCTCTGGCCTCCATGCATGCACAGGGGCAAGCACAAACACATGCGTACATACACTCACTCACAGACACACAAATAAAGTACCAAGATAGTTTGTCATAAATTTCTACACAGTGTTCAGCCCATGAGTACCACATAACCATATCTATAATCCATATAATTCAAAGAATAATCTTTAAAGAATCCATAAAAATGATACATAAGGGATTGATGTAATCCCAAGAAAGACAAAACACCACAATTAATGGGCTCTACTTACGAAACAAACTTTCCTACTTCCACTTGAAGTATTGGATCTCGTAGATGCACTTCTAGGAGCAAATCTTCAGCTTGTGTCCCATCTCCTGTTTTTACAGGATGGGGGTTAAAGATTCTTAAGTATCCCATAAAGCTGCCGACGATTATTTTATCTATAGAGAGATATTTTTAAAGATATAGGATGAAACAAACATTAGCAGATATCTGAGAATAAACTTTATAAAGGCTAAAGGAGGAACCAAAATATTTCAAAAGGAAACTTGCTTCAAATACAAAGTGCACTAGATGATGTAATTAAAGTTAACTTACTTGAAAAACATACTTTCTTAAAAACAGCTTTACATTACTGGCGTTCGAGTATACTAAGACAATGCAGTTGTTTTCCTAAGTTGTGATTTGGTACCGGTCATAATTTAGGTCAATTAAAATAAGTCATTTTCTCAAAAAGCTTGTGAAAGAAAGATTGCAAACTGATTTCATCATAGGATGTTAACTTTAGGACAGAATGTGACAGTTGAAAACACTATATTAAAAAGGATTTTGAGGCTTCACTAGAGTGCCCTCATTAACAATGTATGGTCTTGGGTATAAAAAAGAGAAGAATGAATGTTACAGATTAAACTGTCTTCTAAATCCTTGCCACAGGAATATGTGATCTTTGAAAGCAGGGTCACTGCAGATGTAATCAAGTTAAAATGAGGACACAATCGGGTTTGTGATCAAAGTCAACTGGAGTCTTTAAGAAAACAGACATGGAGAAGAATCCAAATGCCAAAAGAAGGCCCAGAGCAGCCAGGTGAGATGGCACATACATGTAATCCCAGCATTCAGGAAGCTGAGGCAAAACAGCATTGGAGGCCATCATGGGCTACATAGTGAGTTCAAGTCACTAAGGAGTGAAAAGAGATGAGGAGCTGGAAGATGTCCACGGGCAATAGTGGCCAAAGAGTGCCTGGAACTACCAGAACCTAGAAGAGGCAAAGGAAAATACTAGAAGCTTTGAATGTAGCAAGGCCCTGACAGCATCTTGATTCCAGATGCTTCACCTCTAGAATTGTGATTGAATTTATTTCTGTCATTTTAAGCCACTAAAATCTGTTACAGTGGTAACGGGAAACAAATTTCCGCCTATTTAAAAGAAGTTATACACATTCATTTACTCGGGGCTTACTAAGCAGCTTCCATACACTAACTCCTCAGAACAGTCCTCCAGGAGAGGAACTCTGCTGGGAACTTGAGTCCTGAAGATAGACAAGCAGGCAATCAGGAATCTGGTGCTCGGTGACCTGACAGCTGCAGCCTGGAGGGAGGCTCACGAGGCCTCCGCAGCCCTGATCACAGCCCAACTGATCTGCAGCCCAATGTTGGCCAGATCAATTCTGCCTGAAGTTGGGGAGATAGCATTCTCATTCCAAGCTCCTTTTTTAGTTAAATTTATCATGGTTCCCTGCTGCTTGTACCAAAAAAGAAAAAAAAGTTACTATATGTATGAATGAACAGAGAACAACCTATAGGCAGGAACATCCCCGCAAGAACATGTGAATGATTCCTGAGTTCTGTGGGAACAAAGCAGTGACTCCTATTGCTCTAGATGGAGTTAAGTTGGCCTTCACAGAAACATTACAGATAGATCATTGCCTCTAGCCATCTGGTACCCACTGAAGGGGACACATTTGTGAACTGGACAATTGCTGCTGTAGACAGGAAGGAGGAATGCCAACATATGTAAAATGGCTTTTTCTAAAGGCACTGGATAATTTAAAATATGACTATGATGGTTTTAAAGCTCAAAATTCTCATTTTGGGATACCTGGGGATTCTGGGGCTCTGCAGAAAGACTTTCTTAGCAATTCTAGTACCTGCTTACTAATAATCTAATTCAGAGATGAATTGTTTAGCTTTTTTTTTTGGTCTTTTTGAGATAGGGTTTTCCTATAGCCACAGCTACCTGGAACTCATTATTTAGACCAGTCTGGCCTCCATCTCACAGATAGCATCTGTCTGCTTCTGCCTTCCAAGTGGTGAGATTAAAGGCATATACCACCCAGCTGGCTTTTAAATTATAGTAGCACATGAGTTGACAAATCTTAGCTCTCCTAAGTAAAAGTAATAACACTGATCAGAAGGAATGGAATTATATTCTTTATTATTGTTGTTATTTTGGTCTTTTTTGAGACAGGATCTTATAGCCTAGTTTGCCTGGAGATCCGCCTGCCTCTGCCTCCTGAGTGCTGGTATTAAAGGCATGAGCCACCATGTCTGGCAGGATTATATTCTTATAATTAAGTTACCAGAAGAATCTAGAAAGCTTGTCCTCTACTAAGCTTCCCTTGTATATTGCTGCACACTAAACCCCATTATGCCTCACTAACCAAGGTTTGACTTCAATACAGCCCTTCAGAAATCAGAGGTCAGAATGGCCAAATCCACAGGGGGTAACAGCCTAAGCCCAAAAGCAAATTGGGTAGACATGATTTTTCAAAAACCAGGCTGTTATAATATCTCAGATAAACCAGTTTCACCAGATTTCAAGCTATGATTAATTAACTAATTAATTAATTAACATGAGATTCCTCAGGAACTGAATAAATGGGAAGACATTAAATGAAAAGCCTAATTAAGACCTCTTTCTCCATTTTCTTTCCTGAGTAATATTCAGTTTTAAGAAAGAATTGCAGTGCTGGAAAGATGGCTCAGAGGTTAAGAGTACTAGCTGCTTTTACAGAAGACCCAGGTTCAAACCCCAGCACCCATATGGAGGGTAACATCCATAACTCCAGTTCCAGGGAATCTGACACCCTCTTCTGGTCTCCAAGGGCACTGCACAACACAGGTGCACTTACATATATGCAGGAATAATACTCATACATATAAAATAAATATATAAATAAAAATTTAAAAAAAGAACACACTGCAATGTGTGTATCACATTAGCCAAGGCCTTTTTTCTTGTCTATGATGATAAATATTCTAGGTTAATAAAAAAGGGTCACCTCAAGCTACCACAGACAGTCATGGCTCCTTGTCCATTCCCACACATAGGTCAGTTTACTGACTCAGAGTCACATGAACAATGACAGGTCTCTATATGGTCATTGCTGTTACACCCCATATACTTAACAAGGATTTATCTAGGCTCCTTCCCTACAGGTCTAGTGCTCATTTACCCTGATGCACTTGGAAGAAAGAAAGACCCATGCTTTGCAAGCACCTTGATTACTGGCTTTGTGTAGTTGTGGTGGTGTGAATGAAAAATGTGCCCCATAGCTGGGCGCGGTGGTGCATGCCTTTAATCCCAGCACTTGGGAGGCAGAAGCAGGTGGATCTCTGTGAGTTCAAGGCCAGCCTGGTCAGCTGGGGCTACAGGGAGACCCTATCTCAAAAAGACCAAAAACAAGAAAAAGAAAAGAAAAATGTGCCCCATAAGCTCACGTATCTGAACACTTGGTCTCCAGTTGGTGGTGCTGTTTGTGGGGGTTTAGGAGGCTCAGCTTTGTTGGAGGAAGTGTGTCACTGGGAGCAGGTTTGGGGAGTTCATAGCCTTGTCTCACTTCTAGTTTTCTCTCTGTTTTCAGCATTTACTTAAAGATGTGAGCTCTCAGCTCTCAGCTCTCAGCTCCCTGCTCCAGCTGCCTCCTGCCACACCTCTCCCACCATGATAGACTCTCCCTCTGGAACCCTAATCCAAAAAAACCCTTTTTTCCCACAAGTTGCCTTGGTCATAGTGTTTTATCACAGCAACAGAAAAGTAACTAATACACTACTAACTCTAAAAGGCCAGAAGGACAAAGTTAGCTGCCAATTTTGGAGGCCTGGTAACACATGAACTTTCTGAACAGTTCGCCCAGTAGGAGAACAAATCTAACCTATGATTTTTCTCTCAGTTCTAAGAACTTAATGGAAACATATCTCCTTAGAAAATGATAGGCCACAGGCTGAGGAGACAGCTTAGTTAAAGAAGTGATTACCATACAAGCATGAAGACCTGAGTCCAATCTCCAGAACCACAAAAGAAGGGAAGGAAGGAAGGAAAGGGAAGGGAGGGGAAGGGAAGGGAAGGGAGGAGAAATAAGCTGAGCATAACGGCACAGACCTAAAATCCTAGATTTGGGGAAGAGGACACATGAAGATCCCTGGGTCTTGCTGACCAGTGGGCTTGCTTAGCCTACTCTGCAAGCTCCAGACCAATGACAGAGAGTCTGTCTCAGAAAACAAAGTGGGGCTGGAGAGATGGCTCAGCAGTTAAGAACACTTATTACTCTTGTAGAGGAGCCAGGTTCAATTCCCAGCACCCACATCTGGTGGCTCATAACTGCCTATAACTCCAGCTCCAGGAAATCTGATGCCCTCTGGCCTCCACCAGCACCTGAATGCACATAAATATGCAAGCACACACATATACACATAAAAAAATTGGGGGGGGGTCTTTTGAAGACACGATCTCCCTGTAGCCCCAGGTGTCCTGGAACTCACTATGTAGACCAGGCTGGTCTTGAACTCACAGAGATCTGCCTGCCTCTGCCTCCCGAGTGCTGGGATTAAAGGCATGTGCCACCACACCGGGCTACACATAAATTTTTAAAAAAATAAATCTTTAAAGCCAGGAGTGGTAGTGCACGCCTTTAATTCCAGCACTCAGGAGGCAGAAGCAGGTGGATGTCTGTGAGTTCAAGGCCAGCCTGGTTTACATAGTGAGTTCCAGGACAGCTAGAGCTACAGGGAGACCCTGTCTCAAAAAGACATAAATTAAATAAATAAATAAATAAATAAATAAATAAATAATAATAAATCTTTAAAAAGTATGCTACGTGAGGACTGACACCTGGTGTTGATCTCTGATCTCTGGCCTCAATACACACATACATGCACCCACACTTACACATGTATCCACACACACACCCACACAAACACACACAAAAGAAAATGAAATGACAGACCATAAAGTTGGTATCCTAACATGTATACAGCTAAGGGATCTTACATTGGGAGACCTATACAGAACTCTACCTCGCCACTAGGGAGAGAAACAAAAATCAAGAAGATTCCCATCCCAGAGTTTGAGTAGCTTCCATAATTCAAAATCAGAAGTCCTGGCTGCACTTGGGAGGCAGAAACAGGTGGATCTCAGTGAGTTCCAGGCCAGCTAGGGCTC